AAAAATTATTGTTTAAATTTTATTTCATCCTGACAGTTGTGTTTCGGAATAATAAGAAATAACGTTTACACTTCGGTACGTGGTTCCTTTTATCTAACTTATCAGTATCATCGCATAGGTTTCTCAAATTGTACGGAATCAAGCGGTTTTTATAGCCGAAACTAACTAGTTATTGTCGTTTTGTAAAGCACAAATTGTTTAATAGTGGAAGTTTAATCCAATATATTAGAACTATCGGGATTTAACTATTTCAGCTTACTGCTGATATTTCATGCTGATCTGCGTAAGATCGTTATGATAATATCTGTGGTGTACACGAGTTTGAAACTAGACCAAAATATAGTAAACTTGAGACAATTTTCTTTGGGCTGAGCAGAATTTTTGTTCGCTTCCTTTACGTTTCTAATACATTTCAGTGGATAAAAATTCTAAGTCTTATTTGAACATTTCTCATAGTTTTTACTATGTAGACGATCTGAATACTGGAGGTTCGATAGACAGCATATCTCGAAAAGTTAGATTAAAATACAATAATTTAATTACACCAGAACAGGCATTCTAGCACTGGAAGATCCATTAAATCATTCTCAAGTAAATATTGTAGATACAATAACTGATTGGAAAAAGTTTCAGTTTTGAAATATAAAGACAAGCATTGTAGAAGTTTTTTTAATAGCTCTTATCGCTATATCAAGGTAGAGGTAACTGGTGTGAAAACCTTGGAGATAATACGTTCTCATCAAAGTAGGTTTACAGTCATATAAACACTCACAGTCGATCGTCAAGACTGTGCATATATTGATAATGTTATCAAGGAAATTATTTCTGATTAATGAATATGATGATCCAATTATTCCAAACAAGAACAAAGAAAAGAAGATTCTCGCGTTATCTATATTCTGAATTTTCAAGCTCACGCGTAAGTTCTTGATGTGCTAGATTGGTGAGGATTGTATATAATTTACTATGATTGCCGTATTTAATTCTCGAGAGATAGCATACGTTCAATAAGAATACGGGAACGAATTCTCGAGGAAAACCTAAATAATTAGAACCTATTTCATCTACAATTGCTCATAATAAGTAGATAAATTAACTACTGTAAAACACGAAGTAATTCCTGTCGAAACCCTCTATACGTAAGCACTCAGCCAGAGTGTTTACAGCACGTTCAACACAATAAACGTCTTTTAGGCACATGATTTAAGTGATATTTTTATTGTGAGTTGTCACCCATTTGATCCACATCTAACTTATAGTACACCTTATCCTCTATCGATAACTAAATTAGCAATATATATGTATATATACTGTTGGTCCACAAAAGAAGTTAAAAAATAAGAGTTATACACAAAAGAAATTCCATAAATATATGATCGAAAAATCAAATCACATAATCTTTATTGAGTTTTGGTGAATAAGTACAGTTATTGAAATATGCTACTACGAATCGTCACACACACACACATTTCGTAAAAATTGGCTATATAAAGTTTGTAATGGATTTCTTATTTTTTTATCGGAATATTATGTGTAATTTAGGCTTTATTTTGGATTAAATTACATAACTATCCATGTCAGGTATCGAGGTTGGTTTTAGCATTATCTCAAAATTTGTCTTTGTACTGGGAAACTGTAAAAAAAAAAAATATTTATAAACACGTGTTTGAACAACCTTATTCACTGATCTGTAGTCTCATTATATAAATTTTATCCATCTGGTCTTAGCAATATGTCTTTTGTTCATTTTATTTTTTAACAAAAATGAAGTAGAAAATAACGAAACATTCAGGTTTTATGATAGACACGCTTATTTGATCTCATTCTTTTATTTATGAGGTGAAATTATTCAGTTCAAAGGAGAATTTGTTTATCATGAATTATCAAATATTTTCTATTGTTCAAAGTTTAAAATAAAACATGTTGGTTTCTAAAGTGAACAAAAAGAATGCCTACACATAAATGTAACCTACTGTTTAATGTCAGCCACTAGCCTAATCAGACTCGCGAATAATCATACTTGGTGAACACGCCACGCTGCCAGCTGCTCAAGGTAAAGATGACAATAATTACGTCAACGTGTCAATCAGAAGATCATAGATCCCGCCCATGAGTAAGCACCGCCCTTAGGTCTGCGTTATTTTAAGGTCTAACTACACATGCTAGCAGCAGGAGATAAAATTCGACATCTCGACCTTAGCAACAAGAAGGCGCTTTTAGCAATCGAACTGTTGAGTGTATCTCCTAACAACGTGGTAAGGGTGCGGTTCTGTCTAGACCAGAGACTACTCGTTCCTTTCTTTGTCACCCACTGAAATCGGAGCCAATGGGTTCCGGAGTGTTGTGATATACCATGTGACGCCTCGCCTTTTGAATGTCGTCATCCCAGCTTTAACCAATCAACAACAGTATCATCGTCTATCTATCAGCGCCATGCTGTGGAGGCTTTTCTCTAAAGCGAGGCCACGTTGGTACTACATAATAGGCCGAGACTTGTTTTGCAAGTGAGATAAGCTCGGCGCCAATGTCTTCTGTACAATGGCTACCGCCTCACAGTGTCTGTACACAGCCACAAGTAGCGTGGTCTCTCTGACGAGCACACACGCTTGTAGGAGCAGCGATATGCAGCTCGCCAGCTCGCAGACCGGTTTTATGCGCGACTCTGCCGAGTTTAAGTACATGCCTCCGCAACATCAGAGCACTAACGGGCACGCTCTTAGCCCTCATCCCCAGTGGGTTGGGTTCTCCCCTCATGGAGACCCAGGGACTTGGCCGTCCAGCATGGCTCACCCGGGTCTACAGGACATTAAACCTCCACATCATGCTGGGACTGAACTCCACCCAGGCGCCCTCGCTCATCACCGTCCCTCACAGCACATACCAGCGTCCTACCCCTGGCACCCCTCGTCTTTGGCAGCACCTCATATGACAGGAATGGCACCCCCGGGAAACGGATCATCCCCCCCACAACGTCCAACATATGGAATGAACGGCATGCTGACCCATGGAGGTGGCCAACTTCAGCCTATAATGAGGGACATGTCCCAGCATCTGCCCACTGACCACAACACACACCATCATCATTATCATGATTCCCTACATCATCGTAGTTTGGACTCGAGGTCAATTGACAGTGACTCTGCTGTAATTAGTGAGTCACCACCACCTAATTCTGAAGACCTCGAAAATTTTGCTAAACAGTTCAAACAGAAACGAATTAAGCTGGGTTTCACTCAGGCCGATGTCGGTTTAGCCTTAGGAACGCTTTACGGCAATGTGTTTAGTCAAACAACCATCTGTAGGTTTGAAGCTCTGCAGCTAAGTTTTAAAAACATGTGTAAACTGAAACCACTATTGGCTAAATGGTTGGAAGAAGCTGACAGCTCTACCGGCTCCCCAACATCGTTAGACAAAATCGCCTCTCAGGGTCGCAAGCGGAAGAAGAGAACAAGCATTGAATTATCTGTAAAAACAGCGTTGGAAAACCACTTTCACAGACAGCCGAAGCCCGTGGGTCAAGAAATTTCAAGTCTTGCCGATAGCCTGCAATTAGAGAAAGAAGTGGTACGAGTGTGGTTTTGTAACCGTCGCCAGAAAGAGAAAAGAATGACTCCGAATGTCGACGTCGCAGGAAACCCACTGACTAACAGAGGAACAAAAGGAGGACAGAAAAACGACGGGAACCAAGACATGCTTCTGAGGCATGCTGACGGTGGTTACCTCAATGGCAGCCCCGGTCAACTCCCATCACATTCACACAGCCCGCCTATGCTCCATTCACCCCCTTCCCATTCAGCCAGCCATTCTATTTCTACCATGGGCCAGTCTCTGACCGCTCACTGACAACTCACGTGACTTGTGGGCTATCAGCTTGATTAATAACAGTTCTGTAAGAAAATCATATACTTGCCATGTGATTCTTAGGCCTAAACTGACTTATTACATAATAGTGCAATGTATAAATAAAGGCCTTCTTATGTTTGGTTAGTGAAGTGAAGATTTAATTAATTTTGTGCTCATTCCAGGAACATCTGGGACTTCTTGTACATAATATTCATGTGACGTCATCTTAATTGTTGTGTTTTTGTGCCAATATTCTGTTTTGTATCTCTTCCCGACAACGCCGAGGTCCTTGTACACACACTTATGAACGAGATGGGACTGCGGCTTGGTCAAGTTGTAATAAAGAACAAAAGGTGAGAGAGGGCACGTTTTAAACTAGTCGAAACACTGGACAAGCGTTGGAAAAACGCTTAACGTGAGGTAAGGCCCGTCTGCCGTGTTTTCATGTTACTTCTTTATATTGTTACCTGCCAGTTTTAGGACTACCTCGGAAGACCACTATAAACGTATTGACACAGTTTTCTTTTAAAAATAGCTCGGACGTTTGGAAAGCTGAAGGTAAACCCTCTCATACAGTTTGAAACTGGTACATGTTAAACTTGAAAACTATGTAAAAATTCAACAGCTTAGTAAACTTATAGTAAGAACCAAATGTGTGAATTAAAATATAATAATGATAAAGGAATATTTGTTTGATTTCATAGGGAAAGAAAAGGAAAATATAGTAAAATAAATATTTATAGTGGTTAAGAAGTAGACTGAGTTTTCGTTGGAATCATAGGTTTCTTCTTACTGAGTATTAATTTGAATGCTTATTTTAACGGTTCAAATTAAGATACATTTCAGGTCATACGCTGAAGCCTTTTATCATGAAATGTAGTTAATGATAGTCATAATAACATGCAGTTCAGTTTTGTGAATTAAACCCGTCACTGTATACTTTAGTGTGTGGCATATCTATACCGTTGTGTACTTTTGGAAGTATGCAACAATTCTGTGGCACGTTTATTATACAGACACATTTTGGAGTGGCATAGGTCAACGAATTTAATAACTATAAATAAAGCAATGCTCATATGAATGCTATACAAACTTCTTGAAAGCAGATCAATCATTAAAATCCTGATATATTTCTGTACAGAATGTGACGTTTGAAAAAGGACGTTAATTACTATAAAAATTAAGGTTTTAAACGAGGTTATGTTACTTATTGCCAGAAAAAAAGAGAGAAGATAACAAGGTTAAGAAAAGCACTTTTAGTGATTCATGAAAACATAATAGTTTTAACCTTAGAAAAAGAAGGTTATATGTTTTAAAAACAAAAGCTCTCAGCGATATTGGCTACGAGATGTAAAAATTGCGTTAAAAATATTGCAGAATTTCAAAGTAAAAGTTTCTCCCTGTACTTTTACATAGTGCTATCAGAAACGGTATCGTGTTATAACAGGCTGCCATTGAATATTATAGACAGTTTTCGTTTGTTAAAATAATCTAGCGTTTGTTGTAACTTTGTAAGTAGAAGAGAAAGTGTATATCGGCATAGCCCGGAAAACAGACGTGTATATGACCAGATAACTTGTTCGTTGTTTCCCTGTGTTTAAATGAAAGAGTGTAATCAATTAGTAATAGTGGAACACCAAAAGTTGATCCAAAAGTGCACTTCTTCGACCCATAACTGTCGCCCAGATTCAACACAAACAACATTCTGTGGCTACTAACTTTAACACTTCTTTATAATAGTTTATTAGATCTTTAAAATTGCGGAAAATGTCACAGACATTGTAGATTAAAAGTTCGTATCTCACACAGACGTATAAACAGCTGTTACTTTTATTGTAAAAGTTAACTTGCTTTTCGTTATCTAATTTCCAATACCAATTATTAAGAAAAAAGAAACATAATTATTCCTGTAGAGGAGTTCCGTTGAGGGCAGAACAAATTGAAATGCCTAGAGATGATTAGATCTATAATTCGTTAGTACAAGGTGGTTCGTCACATTAGATTTTTAATCATACGTGTTCTTAGATCACTTCCTTAGATAATTAGATCTATATTTCGTTAGTACAAGGTGGTTCGTCACATTAGATTTTTAATCATTCGTGTTCTTAGATCACTTCCTTTCTCAAAATATAGTGTCGCTTGTTAAGTTGCAGGAGAAATACTGACTTGACATTTGCTCTGATTATAGATATAGAATTACTGACCACCTATACTGACAATAAGAGCTAGGTTATGTTGGCATTTCTAGTTAATGCTTTGACGAAAGAGTTTTCGGTTTGGAGCTGTGTGATTCGGGAAAAAAAATATTAATAAGGCATCATGAAATATTTTCAGCTTTTAATGATAAAGATTACTATTTGTTCTAACATTGTGAAAACAACGTTAGTGAGGGTTAAAGTTTTTTTTGAAGTACTCCCTGAATGCTTTTCAAATTAGCGCTCTGCTTGACTGACTTATCAATAAAAATAACATCAGGCAATATAGAAATCCTCGAACAACTCAACCGAATCCTCTAAGCAAGAGTGATAACCTTAAGAGACCGATCAAAATGTATTTGTTCATCTCATCTGGTATACGTTAAAGGTTTTTTTTTAAAATAATTACATAGATCAAGTTAACATTAAATAGAGAAAATGATCCTGTTAATTTAAAACTGAGAATCTCCAAACTTAATATATTAACACATAACCATCAAATAAGACTATTTCTCGAGTTAAAATAGCTATAAACGCAAGTATTAAAGCAAATTCCGCAATTTTATGGATTAACCAGATAAGTTCAATACAAATTCGTTTGTTTGTTTTTTGATTCATTAATTAATGTCCAGTTTTATGAAATGTATGATCATGTAATGTATTTAAATCGTTTTTGCCGTTTTCTTGTGAATATATTTCTCTCTAGTTTTCATATGTGAAAAAAATCTGTTTTTCCATGTGTTTTCATGTATGCTGATATAAGATTATGAACTGCACAGTTTGTTTGCTTATGAGCACTAACTGTATTATATAAAGTTGGAGTACGTATTATATATGTGTATGTGTGTATTTTATATTGTTTTAAGTATAAGCGAAATATGTAGGGTAATCCTAAGCATCTGGTTTTAGTTTTGATATTCCTTAAGATTCATAACTGAGAACAATTTGTTTTTATTTACCCGTTAGTTGTCCCAAAACACAATATTGTTGTATGAGAGTGTGTGTGTATAAAACACGATTCAAAAAGCAGTTGAAAGGGCCCGTCTTTTAATTTTTTTGGTGCTTTAAAAATTATTCTCGACTGAACCGCTTTAATATCGTTTGGGTAACTTATATATTCCTAGTCACTATATGATCTAAGAAAACCATATAAGTTACCCTTATTACCACTTAATGTTGAGATGTAAAGATTACCCGGTTTTGTCACTCGTGGTAAACATTATTCCCTTAACTCTTCTGTAAATTGCTTTTATTAAACTTCATTTCTTAGAATACATTTAAAATAGTTAAGCCTTAAAAATTTCGTTTACAATGACATTTTGTTTTATTCTGGCTCCTGACAATACCTTCTAGCAAGCAAACAAGCTACTTGACCTCAAACTTAACACAAAGAATGCTCTCAGAGTTGATAGGAAACGATTTATCACAGGCAGTTATTCGAATCAAAGAGTGTGTCAGATTTTATTTTCCAGTTAAACGTTTTTTAATTCTTAAACCCCTAGGAAGGAAATCGTTATTTAACCACCAGCCCAATACAGTGTATTAAATCCATATATATGAACAGTATATTAGCAGGATATAGTTTTAAGCGTTATACATACTTAGTATATCATCCATTCACACCTTACAGATTAACCAGGAGAGCAAAATCCAAAATCAGTTTCTCGTGTTGTGTAAACCTTCGTGTGTTTTTCTTTCTTTCTTTTTTAGTGTCTACGTTATCTTCAGTTTGTGATTATATATTTTTTATTATGGTTTCAAATGTTTGAGAAAACTAGCAAACTAATTTTAAAGTCACTTGTCTTGAATTAGTAATATAACATATTGTCTATATCGGTTATTGTCAGTTAATTCGTTTCTGACATTAAATCAACGATCTGATTCGATGTCTCTTATGTAGCACATAGTGTAAAGAGTGTTTGTTACACTTGACAAACTGTTCCTTACAAATCATAGTATAATAAATATAGCACAAATCATTAAAGCTTGGATCCATAAAGATGAGGTTAACAGAAAAGTCTCTTCAAATTTCACTGTATACTGATGTAAATGTTTCGATAATTTGAGGTTAATCTGTGCTTAAATCTTAAAATTTAAGAAGAAAAAAAAATAGCACGCTTCTGTTTTACAGTGTGATGGTAGTTAAAACACCAAAGTTAAATGTGCAGAATTTTCAGAATTTGGATAAAAATCTTTATATTTTGCTTGCGTGAAATATTGTATACTTATTGCTGTTTTAATGTTTCTTTTTGCAGAGTTTATACTTTGCATATGTATATTATTGTATCTGTATTTGTATAGTTAATAACTGTACTATATATATATATAGCTTGAAATAGCTGTATCATATATGACAAGTTGAAATCAGGAACAATAAACACATCATTTTGTGACATAATATTTTGTCCCTTTTGTTACTGTTGTTAACCAGCTGAATATCAGTTTTTAAGAACTAGGAGACGTAATTGTAAAAGTGATATACATATAAATTGTGAATTGTTGTTAAAGCTGAATCTCGTCTAAAATATATAACTGAGAAATGTCTATTAACTACTCCGATTGGGTTCTTGTTAAATTTACAACTATTTTGAGCTGAAAGAGACACAGACATGGGTACCACCAGATGACGCTACCGGTTATGTGTTTCAAAAACAATTTTTTTATCAACTCAAAAAGAACTGCTTAGGTTTTGACTTTGTAGTATTTTTTTTTCAGTAGCGTTAGTCCCAGTCTGAATTTTTTATTTTTTTTGTATCATTGTTTTTTGAGGTGTTCGAAAGTAAACCATGAATGCAGGCCTACTACAGCTGTGTGAAAGTGTATATACTGAGAAACGGAAATCACCAGGTAAACAGTCTACAAGGTACATAATATAGTACACACATTAAATATCCTTCATAACAATAAAAACTAGATAAATCATGATACAGGAAACCCGATAGCTGATAGGAAGTAGGACCTTTCTTCTTCATCATTGCTCTGTACTGTGTTTAGATGTTTCAAACAGAGTTGTGAAAAAATGTCAGTGTATTTTCCATACTGATATGCACACGTTCACATATTCTATACGTGTATAGCGACATTATTAGTTCGTTCTAGATTATCTGATAGGAAAACGCATTATATACATATAAAACAACATGAATATCTTAACATGTAATTTACAATCAAGTTAATCAAAACGTATCAAAGAATTGAAAATTTCTCAAGAAATTGCTTAAAAACCATTGTGGATAAGAATTTGGTAGAACACTGATGACACAAACATAGCAAGAGAAAAAGGTAAATGTAAGGCTTGTCGCGCCTGGTTTTGGCGTTAATTCGACGGTAGCATCTGTTAGGCTGACGTGTTGAGTTGGCGGGTATATTTAATGGTGTCGGACATATTTTTAAGACAGATTGCGACAGGTGGGCGTTTTACAATAAGCTACGAAGTAACGAAAGGATTTCTATATGGATTATTATGTTCCCATACAGTGTATTTTATAAGTTTGATTATGTATCAAGGTTCGCTTAATCGTCCAGCCGTCTATTTACCAAAAGAATCCAAATCATTATCGTTATGTTCTTCAGTATTTAAAAATTGTTAATTTTATTGAGTTCACAGTTCATTTTATAAAACTGAGCTATAGAAAAGTGAGTTATATTCACGATTTAAACTAGCATTTCTGCTTCAGGGAACACAAAAGAAAAACTTGTTATGTAATTTGTACTGTGGAAAATCGTATAGAAAATATGGTAATATTATATGAAAAACCACGAAAAACATTTGGAAAAAAACCACATATAATATCTGAAAATATTGTATAGAAATGCTAGAAATATTATATACAAAAAATAGTGTGAAAACACAATGCCCTATAATAAAACCACTTATAGTAGTGATAACAGTATTGTTGCAAAGTGCAACTTCAAAGCAATTACAATTAATGTGAAAACACAATGCCCTATAATAAAACCACTTATAGTAGTGATAACAGTATTGTTGCAAAGTGCAACTCCAAAGCAATTACAATTAATGTGAAAACACAATGCCCTATAATAAAACCACTTATAGTAGTGATAACAGTATTGTTGCAAAGTGCAACTTCAAAGCAATTACAATTAATGTGAAAACACAATGCCCTATAATAAAACCACTTATAGTACTGATAACAGTATTGTTGCAAAGTGCAACTCCAAAGCAATTACACAATATAGTAATTTGTGAAAATCCATAGAAACCACATGAGACAAAGGATTTTGTTTAGCGAAAGGTCGTGTAATACTTGTTATGGAATTGCATTTCCTTTGTGTGTGTGTAACGAATTACAATTATACTAGAGGTGTTCTTATTTTATTCTGACATTCTACAACTTCAAATGATATAACAAAGTACAATCGTGGTTACTAAGACAATATAAGCAGTTTACTTTGACAGGAAAGTTGACAGCTTTGGTGAAAATCCTATTTTGCTGAAACCATTGTTGTCTTAATCTGGAAGTGCCATGAAAGAAGATGACCTTTCACAAGTAAAAAGAGTTGTAGATTTTTGGAGATTTCTAACTTTAACTTCACTCCTGTCTAAAACAGATTTTTGTAAAATAATCTGGATCCTTCAATTACATGTTTTAAAGAGAGAAAACGAAAACCGGTGTTGTTCTTTCGGTGCCAACTAACATTAAAGTTTTATTATTCAAATTACGTACAGAAATCAAAATATACCGAATCACAGCACAAAACTGTTTCATAAATATTGTGACGTTAAAACTGTGAAACTGCACGGTTTGTTATTATAGTTTTATATATACTGTTTACATAATAATTTAAACTGATCAACATAAATATTGTGACGTTAAAACTGTGAAACTGCACGGTTTGTTATTATAGTTTATACATACTGTTTACATAATAATTTAAACTGGTCAACATAAATATTGTGACGTTAAAACTGTGAAACTGCACGGTTTGTTATTATAGTTTATATATACTGTTTACATAATAATTTAAACTGGTCAACATAAATATTGTGACGTTAAAACTGTGAAACTGCACGGTTTGTTATTATAGTTTATATATACTGTTTACACAGTAATTTAAACTGGTCAAACTAAATATTGTTTTAAGACATTGTAATAATGTGCAACACGTCAACTTAAGTATCATATATAGCAGAAGTTAACAAACAACGATATTGTAGAAAACATGCACATGTTTAGAAAAATACCTGTCTTAACATGGATCGTGTTTTCTACAATAAGTAACAGTGTGCTTACAAGTATTAGTGTAATGTGTTTCTCTGAACAAGTGCCATATAAAGTTTATATGTTCATGTGAAATGGAAAAATGCCATGTTGTTTTTAACTAAGTAATAATGTGCAAGTGGATAACTTTTTATATACCTTATTTAACAATATGAAACTTTATATTATATCTAGTTTATATAACAAGGTGCAACTTGTCAACTTAACTCTTTTGTGTAGCATATATATCAATGTAAACTTATAAACTTAAGTATTATATCTAGTTTATACAGCAATATTCATCTAGTAAACCATGTCGTATAGTTTATATAATATCAAAGAGCTGTACACATCATATGATTTATATGATAATAATGATAACTGCTCAACTTAAATATTATGTATAAGTTTTAAAGGTTATGCATCTGGTTATCGCCAGTTTTATATATTATTTATATAAAATTCATATAATATTATAATAAATATGATACACAGTTTACGAAATATGTTGTTACATTTTTATATTGTATACAATTATTATATGTTAGCTAATGTTATACTTTTAAATTGCTATGCGACTGACTGACTTTAATACTGTATAGAATTTGTAACGTGCATTCAGTCCAGTATAATTTTCTAATTCAGAAAATACTAGTTATTTAGGTATCTTGAAACTTAAATGTAGTTTATGCTGTATTATTTAGTTGGTTAGTTTCAAATTTATACGTAGTTTATATCGAACTGTTCAGTTGGTTACGCCAGAGTTTATGTGTAGTTTAGTTGCGTAATTTTCTTGAAATAGATATGTAACTTACGCCGTAGTATTTAGTTGTTTTAGTGTTCAAGTTGATATTTAAATCATATTGTAATATTTAG